CTGGGTGATGGTATCTGAGATTCTGGCTGAGGCTGTGCCCTGGAGTCCTTAGATGGAGTGATGTCCATTTTGCCCTGTGTTGATGGACATCCTTGGTTAGAGTCCTTTGAGCCTGCCACCTACCTCCATCCCATTCTCTGTTGGCTCCTGTCTTGGAAGGGCCACACACATTAGCAACGAGTTTGATTTCCAGGTGAGAGGATGCTCCTTGCATTTATAGCCGCATTTTCTTCTCAGGCAAACTTGGAAAGCAGAAAGAAAGAAAGAAAGAAAGAAAGAAAGAAAGAAAGAGAAAAAAACCAGTAAAGCTAAAGGTTATGAGACTTACAGCAATCAGTACATGGGACGCTTGAAAGAATTCAGTGAGATTTTCAGTTTGCCTTGGTTTCGAAACCTATTTGAGTGAGAGTATTAGTTCCTCTTCTGGCCTGTGATGGGACACCCTACAAAGCAGCTCTAGAGGGGAGGGATTTATACAGCTCGTTGTTGGAGGGGATCTAGTCCAGCATGGCTGAGAAGGCTGCAGAAGCCATGGCGTTGACCCTGGGATGTGATGTGGCTGGTTGCACCGTGGCTGGTTGCACTGTGGCTGGTTGCACTGTGGCTGGTTGCACCGTGGCTGGTTGCACCGTGGCTGCAGATGGGATATAGAGGGCTCAAGCTGGCAGCTGGCTGAACTATAATCCTAAAAGCCTGCACCCAGTGGCCTGTTTCTACCAACCAGACCTCATCTCTTAAAATGTCCACAACTCTTTCAAGATGGTGCCAGTAGTTGGGGACCAAGCGCTCAAACATCCAAGCTTTTGTGGGTGCATCTTACATTTAAAACATGATCGAACACAAAACCTGCCTGGAACATGTACTGAAAAAACACTCAGATGGGAAGTTGCTGTGCAGGTGGTCACTGAGGTAGGGGTGGGGGGTGAGTACCAGGAGTCCTTTGGGACCTGGAGCTTCCTCTGTCAGGAGCAGAGTGGAAAGCAGAGCATCCAATGTCGACTTGGTGTTACGATTTGGATCGGAAGCCATGTGCTCAGGCTTAGTTGCCTGCTGGTGACATTTTTGGGAGCACAGTTGGAGGACAGAGGTCACAGACACTTGTCCCGGAGGCTTATGCTTCTGGCTCACTGTGAGGAACCCCAGTTTGCTCCACCTCTGCTCCGGGCCATGGTTTTGCCTCCCCATAAAGGGGCTCACGGGCAATGGAGCCGATTCCCTGAGACTTCTAAGACTGCTGGGAATTTCATGGCCTCATGAATGCTAGACAAATACTCCACCAACTGAACTTCCAGCCCAACCCAGGATGTGTTTCTAAACCTCCTACAGCCTAACAGAAAGGAAACCACATTCACCCGTGTGGTAGACTCTGCTAGCAGAGAAGTATTTTTAAAATCTGGTAACCACTTAACCCCAAACCAGATATTTAAATTATTTTGACTTAATCAGGAGGCCTACTTCTGCACCTTGGGTGTTATGGCATGCATAGTTATTTCAAAGGACGCAAGCATATGCATTTTTAATGTTAACCTTTGCTTTTGGTAATTGGAAATAATTTATGAAGAACAAAGACTGTGTTGGTTACACTTTGCTTAGAAAAAGAAACGAGAAGCCCTGGAGCATTCGTATGTGGCTCCTGTCTTCGAGTGCCAGGTGCTAGAGGCACAAAAATATAAGTAATGTGACACCTTCTATGCCAGGTTTCTCCCGGGAAGTGAAGCAGGACAGAGGCCTTGGTCACTGTGGTGACCGCATGGTTGTGTGTGCAGGTGTGTTCCCTTGATTTGCTGTGTCTTTAATATGGGGAGAGAAAGGTATTTTGGAGACATGTGCTTGGGTTCACTGGTACTAACATGCATTTGCCACCTTCTCACCTTGAGAACTTCCGGCCTCAGGCTCCTTCTATCCAGGGATGGTTGTCGGAGGCTCCATACACACCCTCGAGAGTCTTCTCAGGTTAAAGTGCTGACTCTGACCAGCACAACTCAAAGGAAGGAGTCCCTGCCTGGGAAAAGCCCCTACCTGGGAGGAGTCACCTGGGAGGAGTCCCTGCCTGGGAGAAGCCACTACCTGGGAGGAGTCACCTGGGAGGAGTCCCTGCCTGGGAGGAGCCTGCAGTTACCCAGCCCCTCAGTGTATCTGGCCTCCACTGATTTTTGTCTGATGATGGGCAGAGAGTGAGCCCTGGGACAGTGAGTTTGTCACAGAGGAGAGGCCACACTTGTTTCCCTCTGGACCCCTGGAGATGAGTGGGGTCCTGGTGGGAAGAAATAGAGAAGACACCTCTCTAAAGAAGGGTCTGAGAGCCTTTTCCTGCTAAGAAGGAGCGTGGTTATCCCAGGACCGAATGATGTGGGATTCTGCTGTGGGACTCTGCAAATTCACACTGCTTAAAAGACGGAATTAATACTGAGACCAGAAGGAAGACATGTCTTAAGCCAAAGGAAGGCAATTACACGTGGGGCCCAAAAAAGCATGCTGTATAATTTAGGCAAGTAGAGAGCTTTTCTGTTTGCAATTTAAAAAGGACATCCCTCTGAGAGCCCAAAGGGTCGCAAGAATTAGAATAATTCAGAGAGCCCCGAGGTGCGTTTTTTTCCAAGTTGAAGAGTACGATAATGTATTTGTTTAATTCACAGCAGGTCGTGGCCTGAGGTTGTCAGGGAGAACATTTTCGTGTGTTTTACTTTGAGACTCAAATGTTGAACAAAAATAGTAAAGTGATTCTTAAAAACCATAATTTACACAAGCACTTGAGTATTGAGGCCTGCCCCATTTTCCTGGGAAAACAAGATTAAAGGGACTGGGAAATGAGTCAGAATACTATGGCCATTTTTTCTTTTTCTTTCTTTCTTTCTTTCTTTCTTTCTTCCTTTTCTTTTCTTTCTTTTTCTTTTTTTTTTTTAGAGTTGGTTACGTACTTTCTGAGTTGCTTTTCTGGTGGCTACAATAAACTACTCTACCTCTTGAGGAGAGGTTCATCTGGGTTCACAGTTTGAGGGTACATGGTGTCAATATGGGAAGCCAGGACAACGGAAGCTTGAAGCGGTAGGTCACCCTGTGTCCTAGATCAGGAGGAACACAGGAATGAATGCTTAGACATGGCTGACCGTCCCCTTTGGGGTGAGTCCTGGGACCCCAGCCCCTGGAGCAGTGACTTATGTACTCAGGATGGATCTTCCTCCTTTAATTAGCTTAATCTAGATAATGTTTCAGAGATGTGACCAAAGGAGAATTTAATCCAGCCAATCCCCTTACAAGCAGGCCCGGGAGACAATGTGATCTAGATAATTCTTTTTTTTAAAAAAAAAAATATTTATTTATTATGTACACAATAGTCTGTGTGTATGCCTGCTGGCCAGAAGGGGGCACCAGACCTCATTACAGATGGTTGTGAGCCACCATGTGGTTGCTGGGAATTGAACTCAGGACCTTTGGAAGAGCAGGCAATGCTCTTAACTTCTGAGCCATCTCTCCAGCCCCAATCTAGATAATTCTTTACAGGCATGACAACAGGCTTGCGTCCTAAGTGAGCCTAGGCCCGACAAGTAGACAGCGTGAGCCACACACAGCAATAGAAAACTTGGAGTTTACTGCTTAACCCATCCGGTTTTGCGAAAGCTAGTTCATTTTCAGGCAATTCGCTGCCAGACATCCTGCATTAAACACATTCGTACATAATCTATACAGCTAGCTAATGATTCCTGAGGATTGAGGGGGTCACAGGTCTAAACAAACACTTCAAGATTCTGAATAAGTATCGTCAAATTTCATTCATGAAAGGTAGTGACAAAGTACAATTCACTTGTACTAGCAAAGTAAAAGAGTGTGTCTGTATTCACATTGTCTCCAACATGGATAATCGATATTTTAAAAAATCAGTATTCATGAGACTCTCAAAGTACTACAAGCTATTGCTTTTGCCTTTGGTTGTCTCCAAGAGGTGAAACTATGGCCATTTTTTCCATGTATGTGCCTGTGGTATGTGTTTGTGTCATGTGTTCAGATGTGTACAGATGTATGGGTGTCTGCAGGCACATGGGTGAGGAGGCCAGAGGGTGGATCTTCCTTGGCCACTCTCCACCGTACACACTGAGCCATAGTCTCTCACAGTACCTAGAGCTTATCGTTTGGCTAGTCAGGCATCCGGCTTGCTCTGCTGCTCCTGTCTCTGGTTTACAGGTGAACTGCATTTACCTGAGTGCCGAGGATTGGACCTTGGTTGTCACACATGGGAGAGGAACACGTTACTCTCTGAGCCAACTCCCCAGCCCAATTGTGGCCGTATTTGTAAGGTTATTTTGCTCGAATTTCATCAGAATTTTTGTACTGGTTCGTCTTTTTGTCAACTTGACACAAACTAGTGACATCTGGAAAGAGGGAACCTGAAATGAGAAAATGTCTCCACCAAATTTTTTCTTAATTAGTGGTTGATGGAGGGGGCACAGCACTCAGTGGACCGTGCCAAACCTGGGCTGGTGGTTCTGGGTTATATAGGAAAGCAGGCTGAGCAAGCCGAGGAGAGCAAGCTGGTAAGCAGCTCCCTTTCATCCTCTCGGGGACCAGTCCCTGCCTCCAGGTTCCTGCCCTCAGTTCTGGACTGTAAGCTGTAAGGTTACCAGGTTCCCTCAGTGCTGGTCTGTAAGCTGTAAGATTGGAATAACCCCTCCCCTCATGCTCTTGGTCATGGCGTTACTTCTCACAGCAATAGAGAACAAACTGTTTTCCTGCAATGTTTCTTGGACCACTTAATTACCCCAGTTAGATAAGCGTAGTGGTGCGCAGGCTTGGCCCCAGCATTCAGAAGACGGAGGCTGTCTGACCTCCATGAGCTGGAGGCCAGCCTAGTCTACACAGTGAGATTTATTTATTTATTAAATAAATAAATAAACACTCCAAGGACATGTGTGAAATGCTTACATCACTTTATTGGAACCACATAATAACTGAACATTTCAAATTCATTTGACAAGAAATATTATAATAAATAGGACATAAATAAATATAAATAAGCTCATATACTTCCATGAACATAAAATACAATAATAAATATTTTTAAATAAGTGGTGATGAGTGTTCTCATAAACACTTGGGTTAAAAAAAAATAATAGCTTATCAGTTCTTGCTCTACTGCTAACTATTCAGAGAGGACATTTTCTCTCCTGAACAAGATTTTCATGAGCACTTCCTGGTCCTTAACCTGCCTCTTATTAAAATTTCATTGGTTCATATGTCTGTAAGAAGGGAACGGAGCGGGAGGGGCTTGCGCTTTTCAGGAGGAATTCAGGTAGCTCATCACTCTGCTGATGGTCACGGCGCGGATGCGGAAGGCGTGGAGGAGAATGCAGAGCTTCATCTTCACCCTGTACGGGTCTGCTCCTTTCGGGGAAGGTGTCTGGGGCAGACGCTCACCACGGAGATTCAGAGACTACAAAGAAATACCAAGCGTCACATATCTACAATTTCAAAAATGGAAGCCGTCGTCTGCCAAAACAGACGAAGCCAATGCCCAGTCCAGAGCCTGCAGCCTGGTCCTGCGTACACTCTTAGACCCACCCCACATCCACCCTGGTGTGATGCTCCTGCAGGGACAGAGGGAAGAGATGCTCTCTTGCAAGCACACCGAGGTCTTGAATGAGCTCCAAAAGACCCCTAAAGGGCTCAGAAAAGTCATTTTTAGGGCTTGTCTCAGAGAAGGTAAGAGTCTATGTGTGAGGTGACCTCTGCAGCAATAGCTAGTTAAGTTTTTTAGGTTGTGTTAAGAATTCCAGTCCTTTGAGAAGAGGGAGCTGAGGGGCTCTATTGATTAGAGCGGTCTATTAGTTGCAGACCTATTGGAGGTAGAAATTCTATTTGTGTTTGCTAAACCAGTGGCAATGTTTCCCATTTGTTCCTTTTGACTTAGTAGACGAACACTCTTACCCCTGATATTCTTGATGTTCTTGTCTGCTCTTCAGAATCCCAAGAGAGAGGTGGGTGTGTGAAGTCACCCCATTTTCATACAGGAAAAACAAGCATCAGCTCTCTTGGCACAGCTGTCTAGTTCCTAGGAGCCCCCTGTCTCCCACTCAAATCCCTTGACTTCTGGTCTTGCGTATGCAGTAGCAATTACAACACTGTGGATGGTAGATTGTTAGACACCTGTATACATGTTGCTGTCTTTCAAGAAAGTTATCTGGCAACGTATAATGTGATAGCGAGTTTATGTTAACTCGACACAAGCTAGAGTCGTTTTGGAGGAGGAGAACATCAACTGGGAAAACCACCTCCACCAGGCTGGCCTGTGGGCAAACCTGCCATCGTTCTGGATTGATGATTGATGTGGGAGCAGCCAGCTCACCCTAGGCTGGTGTTCTTGGGTGCTATAAGAAGGTGAGCGAGCCAGTACCCAGTGCTCCTCTACAGCCTCAGCGTCTGTTCCTGCCTTGATTGCTCTGAATGACGGACTCTCAACAAGTTACAAGGAGAAATAGACCCTTTCCTCCCCAACTTGCTTTTGGTCATGGTGCTTTGTCAGAGACATAGAAACCACAACAAAGACAGTATGTATGAAAGGAAAAAGAAATCAGCTGCTTTCCAGTGACTTCTGAACGTATTTTTGTCTCATGCCCCAGTTACCAAGGCACTCACCTCTCTTATGTGTATATTTCTATGCTTTGTGCTACAAACTTGCTATGCAGCAAGTGCCCACAAATGAGTAACACTGGATTTCCCAAGATAATAGATGATTTTTTCATTTTGTTTACATTTTGTTTCAATATTATAACCCTCTTGTCTTCCCTAGTAATGTTTTGATATGTGTGCAACACTTTGATCATCCATTCAGCATTTTTTTAAAGAAACAACATGTGTGCATATATATGTTTGTGCGTTATATTCACACACACTCATATGCACACGTAACAGATATATAATCTGTGCCTACAACAAGCAGAAGCCAGAGAAGGGGGTCCTGTGTTACTCTCCGTCTTATTCCTTTGAGGCAGGGTCTCTCCCTGAACCTGTAGTTTTCGTGGCTAGGCTTGGAGCAGGAAAGCCTCATTAACCCTCCTGTGTCCACTCTCTGAGGTTATAGGTCAGTTCCAGACCACATTCTGTTCAAGACTACATATGTTCTCCCAGCCAAACTCAAGCCCTCGTAGTTACACAGCTAGTGCTGTCAGTCACTAGACTGTCTCTGCAGGCCTCATCTTGGACCTTTAAGAGAAAAAAGGATTAAAAAAAAAAAAAAACCTCTGTTTTTCAGGGCACCCTAGTTCTGCCTCTTGCACACTGTGCGATCTTGGATAAGTGTCACTGTCCTTCTTTGTACAGACCACTTTTGCTTGTTGTGGGGATGGCATGAGAAAAACCATTTGCAAAGAGCCCGGTGTACAGCATGAAGTCAACAAGTAGAAGGCTGCTTGCATTTGCCCTGACTGTAGAGGGTCTTAGCAGATGTAACCTTGCAAGGCTTTTCGTGAGGGAGGGAGCATGTCCAGGTCTTTCCCGACCCAAGAGGAGCTGATTTTTATTGCATCTCCTCAAGGACCTCTCTTCAGCACGAGAAAGAGCCAGCGTTGATAAGAGGACACCTTACCTCCATCAGCTCTTCAATGGCTGTCAGCATTTTCTTATCCAGAACGATCTGCTTCTGATTGTGGTCAAAAAGCTCTGCATTGATGGCCTTGAACTCTACCCAGTACATCTTCAAGTCCTCGTAGATGCCACTGAGGCACAGGTTCTAGGTGAAGGGACCAAATAAGAATGAAACCATTGGAATGGGTTAGAACTACATCCCGCTGCTGCCTTTGAGGAAAGTGCTGTATCTTATCATCATCAGAGAAGAGTTTTGTGGGGCAGGCAGCTCCCTCTCTAGAGGAAAGAATAAGCCGGCATCAGTATTATGAATCGGTCGTGGGGGAGAACCTTTAGTTTGCTTACTTACTGTTATGGAAGAAATCTCTCTAGAAGCCAGACAACTCTCGTTCTAGAGGAAAAAATATACACCGAGGATATTAATTTTTAGTATAAAACTCTCTGATAGTTTATCTCAAACTAACTTTTCATTTCAGCAAGAAACATAACAAAATTCAGCACCATAGTGACTTTTGTGTGACTATGTGTAGGAATTCATGTGTGCACGAGTGTGCACGGATATGTGTGTGTGCAAGTATGTGTGTGCAGGTGTATATGCAGGTGTGCAGGTGTGTGTGCAGGTGTATATGCAGGTGTGCAGGTGTATATGCAGGTGTGCAGGTGTGTGTACAGGTGTGTGTGCAGGTGTATATGCAGGTGAGTGTGCAATGGAAGCTAGAGGACTACCTTTGGCGTCTTTCTCAGTGATTTTTCCATCTTATTTTTTTCTGATTCAGGATGTCTCACTGAACATGAGACTCACAATTGAGCCAGACTTGCTGGCCCATCAGCCCTGGGTATCCTCCTGTCTCTCTCTGCCTACCCTGGCACTGAAGCCATGTGGAACCATCACACCCAGCTTTTACATGGTGCTGGGGATCTGAACTGAGGTCCTCGTTCCTATGCAGTGAGCACTTTACTAACTGCGTTACCAGCCCCATTTTTTTTCTTTCAAGATCTTATTGTGTAGCCTGGCTGGCCTGAACTCACCATATACACCAGACTGGCCTCTAACTTAACATAGATTAGCCTGCTCTACCCATCAGATGCCGGAATTAAAGCTATATGCCACCACACCCAACTCATAGCTATTGTGTATATACTTCAGCTTATTGAAGCCTTCATATTATTGTGACTTTTTTTTTCAAAAACCTCACTTTTGGTAGCTATGTGTTAATGTTTGGAGACCGCTTACATTTTATGCACAATTCTTAATTGTGTTGCATGATTTCTGCGGGAAAGATCTCTCCATACCTTGGCAAGTTCCAGTGGTAAACAGGCCTGCAGTGTGCTGGTTTGGTCCTCTGTGATGTCTTCGTGATCAATGTCCTCAGCAGAGCAGGGATAATCTTTCAAAGTTTCTCTGGCCTGTGAAAACCATCAAGAGAAGCTGAGGAGATACTCTGAGCAAGAGAGCTGACTCCCTCTGAGGTTAGCATCCCAGGGTACCAGCAGGACCGGAGCTGGCCACCCAGAATCATCATCTCTTTGAACTGTAGGAAATTGATACATTTCATAAGACAAGAAGAAACAGGCCACCTACATCCTCTCCCTCCCCTCCCCCTTTGCCTAGGCTGTCTGCCAGCAGGACATTGTTTCCACACGGTGAACTCTGCAGCGGGCTGTGCTAATCAGCCTCAGCACCGTGCTGTGAGGCTTGCTTCCGGCAAATCCCGTTGTTTTTCCTTTTGCCAAGCACTCACGCTGAGTGCTTATCCTTTTCAAGGCTAACTTGTAAAGAGGAACTGTTAAAGTCACGACTTGATGGCTGCAACAAACTTGCAAGCCCTAAAGACTGGTTGAGTTTTAATTTACAGTACGCAGGGACCTTGTCTTACCCCCTGGTAGGTTGAGAAACGTCGAGGAACAGAATTACACAATATATTAAGACGTCAACAGCTTTCTGATAATCTTCCCACTCAACTATGGAACTAGGGAAGTGAGAAAGAAGGGATAGTGATCGGCCCGACTGGAGTCCAAGTTCGACTTGGTAGCAATAGTAACCCAAACTGAGACAAGACCGAATTCTGCAATGTCTCGATGGGCAGCGCAGTTGTCTGGGACTAGCACAGTGGGCTTTTCCAGGGAACGTCTAGTCGACTTTGAACTTCTCCACCGCCTCCATGCCAAACCTCACCTGAGGAAAACAGTCACTCATCTCGGCAGGCCTTCCTGAGGGAGCCCCCCCCCCCCCCTTTAAGATTTTTCCTTCATCTTAAAATTTCATGTGAACAAGTGTTCTGCCTGTGTGTGTATCTGTGTACCATGAGGGCCCAGTGCCCATAGAAGACCAGGAAATGACAGATTCGGTTGTGAGCCACCATGGGAATGGCAGGAATTGAACTGGGGTCCATCTGGAAGAGCAGCCAGCACTCTTAACCACTGAGCCATCTCTCCTGCCTGGAATCCCGCATGTAATTACGATTGTTTGAGCAGTGAGGGACAATTGACAGCACATGAAAGACCAGAGAGAAGGAAAGAACTCTTCAAAGAGGCTTTGTAGAATGGAGCTCATCTTGGCATTGTCATAAGGTAACAAGCTAGAAGTTCCTCAAGATTTTAAAACACAGCAGAAAGAAGGAAGGGGTCTCCCTCCCTCCCTTCCTCCTTCCTCCCCTTTCTCCGCCCTCCCTCCTCCATTTCTATGTGCTTATGAGTGAGCGCCCTGCTGGGGTTGGAACACGGGTCCTCATCCGTAATTAAGTAACTCTACCACCAAGCCACAGCCTTAGTAGCTCCAGAATGTCCCAAACACACTATCGTTTGCTGTAGTTTAGTAAGCAACACTGACAGAAAGCAGCAGCGATTTTTATAACAGAAAAGAATACGGTGCATTCAAATATGAAACCCGAGAAAAACAAACAGAGCTAGAAATAAAACCGGATCACACTTGCCCCAGAAAAACGAAGGTCAGACACAACACGGATGCCACAATCTTCCCTGTGACATGTGCATCCAACAAGGAGCTGCAGCCCTGTGTTGGATGAGCAGCAGGAGATCTAAATAGGAGATCTAATTCATCTTTAAAGCAGAGATTGCACCTAGCAACTGTCTCCCTATTCAACCTGCAGTGAAGCAGAAGCAGGGAGCACCCGACCCAAAGCCATACAGGCAGGCAGGCTGGGAGGGGCATGGTGAGCAGCTACTTTCCTCTGGAAAGACACAGTCCAAACTGATGCTGTTATAATTTATTAGCATCCTTTCTTCCTCTGGAGACACAGTTTAAGCTAGATACTATCTGGGAGGTTTGAAGTTTCCTCTACCGCTCCTGCCGGCTACCCATGAACTGCGGGGTCCCCCGCAGATACCAGATGGAAATCTTTTCCACAGGGGAGCCTCAAAGCTAGGAGGACCCAAAAAACTCACCTTCTCCAGCATTTGGTTGGTGGTATTCAGCAAGTTTTGGGAGTAGACAAGACCCTTGGCAGGTTGGTAGATTGGTGTGGCCCTGGCCAAGCTGAGGTGGATTAGGAGGAGAAGGGTAGCCAAAAACAGGAGGCCTGAAAGGGAAATTGGGGCGGGAAAGTAGATGGACTTTGTCAACCTGGTTTGGTCTGCCTCTGTCTTCCGCCATTCTGGCCATCTCTTCCAATCATTTCTTTTGGGTATTGGCCTCCTTCCACTTATGTTTTAACTCCTTCCTCAGGGCTGTCAGAGCGAGCAAGACTCCCCAAATCTTGTTTGGGGACTGGACGAGATCTGCATTTTCCTTACTCTAGCTCCAAGGTTGTGCCTTGGTTTTCTTCCGTGAAATGGGCATAACGGCCCGGCCTGTTTTGTAATGAAGAGACCATGCCAGGTGCAGCAGAGATCTAATAAAACCCTCCTTCCTGTCTTCTTTTTCCTGGCCTGCAATTGCTGACTGCTCTTTAGTCTCCCTTAGCGGATCCAGGGCTCCTGCCTGCTCCTTCCCAGGTCACCTTCCCAGATCCTATCACCCAGGTCCCCGGCCCTGGGCTTACTTACAGCGCGATGGACACATGCTGGGCTGGCAGTGAGCGAGGCAGCTGGGTGCTGGAGGGGAGGCTGTTGGAACACTAACCCCAGGGGACACATTTTTATAATTGTCTGGAGACCCAGCAGGACTTTCCCAGGATGGTGTCTCTTGCTTTCTCTCTCTGTCTCTACAGGAGCTTCTCAAGGACACGTGCGTAGATCGTCCCCAGGGGGCGGGTGGCGCTTTCGAATTAACTCTCGGAGTGCCCGTCTGCTAGGTTCCGGGACCGCCGCCCACCCCACCGCACTCAGAGCGAAAGCGAAATTGTCCCGCGGTCCCCGCGAGTCGAGTCGCCGCACTTGTTCTGCAGCAGGTCTGTCCCGCCCCACAACCCCCTTAGTCTAGATGCCCTGCACAGCACGCTGCCCAACGCCCCCTCGGAAGAAGCAGCTCCACTCACTTGTCTCCGCCGTGGAGACACTGAGTCTGACTCGATCTGTTTTGCAAAAGTGTCCTGCCTTAAACATAAAAACCGGTGTGACTAGATACCGCTTAGAACTCAGTTCTGACAGCTTAATACACAGCATCCTGGGAAAAAAGGCCCAGAGAGAGGAAGCCTAGCGCTCTGCAGGGAGGCTTTCCATGACTGACGAGGGATGGATTCTGAGCCAGTCCTGGAAACGGGAATCAGCACAATAGGCGAAAAGGGGAGATGGGAACAGGGAATGCTGCCAGTTGTGATCTGGTGGAGATAGACCGTCACCCGAGTTGGGAATGGCACCCTTAGACTTTCCAGAGTTTCAGCAGAGAGATAACCTTGGATTTGCATGATGGGAAGATTCCTTCACCAGCAATGTAGGGGCCAGATGCGAAGGGTCCAACTCAGATCCAAGGGAGTAGATGGCAGGCTAGGACCGCACGGGGATGGAAATGCCCAGACCCCAGTTCAAGATGGAGAACCAAGGTGAACAGAAGGGATTCCCAGCAGGGCAACAGGCTAAGGCTTGATAACACCCCAGGCTGCATGGGTGTATTTGGATAACACCCCAGTAGGGGTGTGAGTTTGGAGCTTGCAATGACAGTATTTTGGAGGCTTGGGGTAGGAGGCCCCCGTGGGACTTTACTCATTTCTACCCCAAATGAGTCTCACTGGGTGTGCAGAGAGAGGAAGGCCTGCTTGGTCATCGGAGCCAGTCATGTGTCTGACTGCCCCCAGCCCCTAGGGCAGGAGCTGTCAGAGTCCACCTCCTCTAGAGGCAATCATTTCAACAGTAAGAAGCCACTGAGAGCCCAGGAGAGAAGGATGTGCTCTTCTTCCTTCTGAGGTCCACAGAAACCTGGATAGAGGAGCTCATTGTCAGCCACCACCCTGTGAGCACTCAGCAGGGTGGGCCCCCTGAAAGGGGGTAACAAGGCCAATACGAAGAAAACCATAGCAGCTAGGATCTGTAAGGTCCCTGCAGCTGTGAACTGGGGACAAGGGACAATCAATGGCCAGAACCAAAGGGGTTATAATAGTTTATGTGAAGCTGTGCTTGTGTCTAGAAGGTTAAGGTGACATTAATGAGAGTTATGTTTGTGTAGTCCAGGGAGAAGTCTGGACCAAACTGTGTTCCTTACTGCAGGGTGGACAATGCTCCTCTCTCTAGATACTGGTTATAGGGACTCTCTGAACGACCTCACTGTGTCGGTGACCCCCTTTGCAGGGATGACAGTCTGAACCTGTGGTTTGTTGTTAGACACCTCTGTTTACTCAGTGACCCGCTGCTTGGGAATTTACAGGGAATGATGACATTTGTTTCAAAGAAAGGAGAAGGAGATCAGGACAGGAAAACACTGGGCCAATTTGTGCTTCAGAGGAAAGAGTCGGGTTAGCTTTCTGTGCTAAACGCTTCCGTTTGTGGCGGAACAAGGCTTTGTATCTAGTTGATTTCCAGAGCGGAAGTTGCAGGAGGAGACCTTTCCGGCATCCAGTAATTTCATTTCCTCTGTTGTTTTTACCGTGTGAAATGCCCCAGTGTTTCTCTCCTGAGTAACTATACGAATTTACCTTATGTCAAAGAACTCCAAATATCATCGAACACATTCTGCGTATTTCCCCCTGCTTGTAACATCCTTTCTATAACAGGTGTGGAACGGCATTGACTGGCTTCTCTCTAGAAACTGGATAGTAATATCCCCACATCCAAAAAATACACAGCTCTATAAAGAGATTAAGCAAACACATTCTCGTAATGCAATAGAAGATGATCTATTTTGTATCTAAACGGGGCTAAACTAATTTCCTGCGATTGTTTTAGGGCAGCCATCTGACAAATGGTTTCTACAAATCCTCAAAAATGGATTCTACAAATTGTCGTCTGAACCAAAAATTGGGAATACGTCAAATAAAACAGCCACTGAGTTGTACACAAAATTCCACAAAGACTTTCAGATTAATAGGAATGCTTTTCTTTTGACCAAATTGCCTAAGGAATTTTTTTATTTTTATCTTTTTAAAGCCTCATAATTTGGGTCTCTTTGGGAAGATGTAGCAGACAGATGTCTCTGGGGTTGAACTGTGAGACCTTTTACATAAATCCCATGCCTTTCTGAAAAAGCGTGTTTTCTAAATTGGATCCGGAGTTGTTTCCCTCAAAACAACAATAACAACAACAAAACCAACGGCTGTTGCCTTGGGAATAATGAAGAAAAATATGCCATCGTGAAGACAACACACAGAATGGAGACAATGCCTTTCAGAAAGACCCCGTGTTCTCCAGTAGAAACCAACAAGTTGCCAGATCTTTAATGCCTGGGTCTGTCACGTAAATAAAATAGTCGTGCATTTTCAGTTGCTGAGCAGAGCTGCTCTTCAGGGAAGCTTGGTACTTTTCCCACTCGTGTTTAGGGGATTTTTTTTTCACCCCAAAATGATTCTAGGTGAGAGTGATCCAAGGCCGAGGGAGTGACATTACTGCTTGCCAGCGGCAGATGCTGACATTTATTGAGTGTGCGTTGTGGCCAGGGACGGTCCCAGACCATTTTCCGTGATCGTTTCGCTCAGTCCTCACAAACCCTGTGTGCCAGATGTCATTGCCGTCACCGGAGAGCTCCCCGTAATCTTCTGAGGTAGCATGGGAGGTGGGATTTGAACCCAGCACACTGCTGCTGCTCTCTTAAAATACTGTGTGCTGAGAGGAGAGTATTATGCAAAAAAATTTGTCAATTTTTTTTTGACAAATGTTTTTGGAGTACCCAAGTAAAAGCCTTTTAAAATGGCTTTAAGATGCAAAAACCAAATAAGTGTACTTTTAAGACCCTGGTGAAGAACATTAGTCAGAAATTTAGACAGTGATTATATACAGGGACAACATTGACATCATCCTAAGACTTTACTGTATAAACACATAAAGGAGGGAAGCAAGGTGACCTCTTTCCCTCTACTCTAATACTCAACACAAATGTAAATACACTTTTGGCCACGTTTCTCATTGACTTAGCTAATAATATCTCTTATGAATCATTGTTTGTGTGTAGCCTGTGCAATTGTTCACCCGCTGTCACCTTGCGCTACTACATACACCCCAGGACACAGGAATATGGTTCATCTTATTTTTCTCTGTAGTCCCAACTGGTACAACAGTACTTGGGCAAAAGACAAAATTGGAACAATTGGGTTCAACGGTCTTGTCTTTTGTTTTTCATTCTAGAGTTGGGGAGTATTTCATTCATGACATAGAGGGGTTCTGATGAACTGAGCAGAGGAAGTTAGCTTTGTGGATAGAATGGGCTGAAGTAATGTGGTGGTCTAACCTTCTAATCTCAGCATTCTGGAAGCTGAGGCGGGAGCATCTCAGGTTGAGCCAGCCTTGCCTACATCACGAGGCTTGCCCCAAATAAAACAATACAAAGCAGAAGAACTCAGGACTGGCAAAAGTAAAACCTTCCCTGTCCAAAGTAACAAACAAACAAACAAACAACCAAAAAAAAACCAGAAGGAAATCAGTCCTATATTTTAAGAAGTGAAAAGGCAGTTTGGGAGAAGTCTTCACGTGCAGCAAGATGGTCTAAACCTGAAGCAATGGAGGAACTGAGAAGACGGATTGGGCTAGGATAGGAAGCGGAAGAACATGCGACCTAAGTTGCCGACGATAACTGTTGGTGTCACAACTTTGGCCGCAGCTGAATTTGAACACCAACGGGCGCAACTTCCTGTGGAAGCAACGGGAGACAAAGACACGGCTGGTCCAGCCCCCGGGGCCTATGTAAGGTTTGGCATTGTGGGTTCGTGTAGGGTCCAGCTGGCAGATGTCTGTGGTTTTCCCTACATCAGAGGCCGACAGACATGCGTGTTGGGTAAATTCAAGTTTGGAACCGGACCGAGGGAAGTGGGCGAAAGTCAGGGTATTGATGGCATCTGGGGGTGCTTGTCTGAGCTACCAGTTGTTCAACAGAAAGTCATTAAGCGTGTACTATGTGCTGTGTACCGGGCGCTGGCTCACTAGCACCCGGGAGTGTATCAGGAGCTAACACAAAGTGCTACCCCTGGCTGGCAAGAGGAAACAGACTGCATAGGCTTGTGTGTAGGAAATGGCAGAGCTTGGAAGCCCCAAACTACACATATTTATTTATTTAATTAATTTTTAAAATATTTATTTATTTATTTATTATGTATTCAATATTCTGTCTGAATGTATGCCTGCAGGCCAGGACCCCATTACAGATGGTTGTGAGCCACCATGTGGTTGCTGGGAATTGAACTCAGGACCTTTGGAAGAGCAGGCAATGCTCTTAACCTCTGAGCCATCTCTCCAAACCCACACATATTTATTTTAAACCCAGTCCTTTTCCTCCCTTAACTATTTCCGAGTTATTTGGACTATTTCTGATAATATGTATAAAATCATGCATAAACTATGTATGAAAGGTGTAGGCAGTTCTTTTCCTGCTTTGATCTCTGACCAAGTGCTGCGTGGGCACAGCAAAAAGTAAGATTTTGCAAGAGAGAAGTGCTCAATGAACTATTTACAAAAGTAATTGCCTGGCACATGTGCCAAAAGCTGCCTTCTTTAGAGGGCTAAGGGTGTCTCTGAGTGGCAGGGCGCCTACCTAGTGCACACAAAGTCCCTGGATTTGCTCTCGTAACTGGAACCCCATATATTAATAACATAAGCAAATGTAGAATTGGGCCAAATATGGTGATTGCAACTTTATCGGATGACAACACCCATCCAAGCGGAGCGCATCGGGTGGGGGTGGGGGCGGAGTGGTGAGGAGGCAG